AGGGGGCAGATTTAGGTTAGATATTACTAAGAATTTCTTCCCCATGAGGGTGGTGAGGCCCCAGCCCAGGTTGCCCAGAGAAGCTGTGGCTGCCCCCTCCCTGGCAGGGTTCAAGGCCAGGTTGGATGGAGCTCTGAGCAACCTGGGCTGTTGGAAGATGTCCCTGCTCATGGCAGGGGGTTGGAACCAGATGATCTTCAAGGTCCCTTCCAACCCAAACCATTCTATGATTCTATCATCTACCATGCACTGCATTGCCTTACTGCTCTGACTTTCCCGCTGTTGACTCCTTGCTATAAAGCAGACTGAAAGTAACAACAAGAAGTGAGCTTATTGCAAACATTAACAAAACCTCACACAAGTCAAATATCTATGCTGGCCATTCTTGCCAGTGCAAGGCAAAAAGCGTAGAACATCTCAGATATTTCAAAAATACTGAACTATTTCACAGATTAATTTCTGTTCTTAAAAGAGCCCTAGTAAAACATCAGACTGTCCAATAAAACAGTGAAAGTAGCAATAAAACAGTGAGAATACCACTTAAATACATGTACAGGTAGACAGAAATATAGATATGCATACACAGACAGATATACACACACATCTCCTAGCAAAATTATAAATCCAGAGTTGGAATAATGCCTCCAAGAACTAAATAAAAGTGTATGAATGTCTTTTCTCCCCAGTGCATTTTTAAAAATTGATAATGCTTTAATATTTCCTACTTGAATAGCTTATACTTTTATTACCAGTGCACAACATTTGAGCGAGCCTTTCACACAGCAACACGGAAAAGAAAATCATTTTAAAGCACGATAACATACTAATGAAAAGAGAGAAGCAGAAAGAGGATCAGGCACAAATGCAGCACCCAAATCTAATTTAAGCACTTAAACTGATTTGATTCAAACCGCCAACATCCTTAGATATATTAAGCAGTTTCCCGACTTTCCTAAAGCTTTAGACAGCATCAGGTAGCTTTTTAAAGACAATGGTTTTGTATACTAGCTTTTGATCAAAAGTTCCCATTTGTTTAAGAATGGAAACTGTGATAGCTTTTTGCCAGCTAGCAACTCTCGCAGGTTACGATTTACTCAAATCTTCTGGAGATAAAATTCCTCTTCACTGTAACATTCTTTGGCCAAGGACACTGTATCACCACCGACTCCTTAATGACGTTCAATCAGCAGCCCATAACTGCCTCCATTAAATTAATAAAAAGGTAGTTTAAAAGATACACTCTAATCTTATTTTTTTTTCCTCCAACTGTCATGTTGCATTGCTAAGCGCTGCTCAGGATTTTCCATCTCCCACCTCAGAAAAAAGAAAAAAAAAGTATTACCATGAAAGGAGAACCAGTGCCTTTACACACAACCACGGCTTTCTGGAATCCTTTGGTATTTCATTACGTAGTCAAAAGTATATAATCTGTGCATATTTTCAGCTACAATCATACATCAAACCGCCCGTCAGTGTGCCTATACACCTGATTTGCATACAATTACTAGTCCAGAAGCCAAGCGCTATCCTGACGTTGTTAATCCAATCCTCTACAATCTCTGGCCAATAAATCTGTGTAAAGCAGCAGTCATTTCTCAACCTGTGCTTTACCTCCCAGGGCAGCCCTTGCCCATCTGCTAATCAGGCAGCAGGCTGAAACAATCCCATTCAGGCAGGATGAGAGGTTGTGTCGCCGAGCTACAAAAGCGCTTTGAGGATTCTGTGGTCTCAAAGCTCGCAGCATCCTTTTGACTGCACAACACCCAACGCTGGCAAGCTCACCCTCGAGTTCGGTGCTCCCGAGCTCCCACTGCTTGAAAAAGTTGTCTCCAGCGCGCTGCCGCAGCTCCGTCACCAGGAGATTCCTCAGCCCTCCCAGCAGACAGCCTCACAGCAGAGGTCCTCTCCCGCCCAGACTACGGCAGCTTGAAGCCACCGGCCTGCAGCAGACTCCAGCCAGCGCTGAGGCCCGCTGGGGGTTTGTACAGAAATAGAAAACACAAGCGCATCAGGCACTTTCTATATTTTCTATGTCAGCTTCCTTCAAAACCAAGATCTTTATCTTTAAAGAGCTCATGTGGCTGGTTCCACATCTTAAGAACGTCACCTGAAGTCCTTCATAACTCCGTCTTCTACCCCCGCAACAGCATCTGTGCAGAGGTCAGTGTTTTCTGAGAAGCCATTCCTACCACCACGAACGATCACCAACGAAACCACGCTCAGGTACACTCCTGCTATGCCTCTCTCTTCTTAGGAAGTGGCAGCACACGGCACATCCTCAAAAAAACCCCACACATCCCCACCAGAAGAGTAAATCACCACGCATCTCCCCTTTCACAGTTTGGGTGGAACAAGCAAGAAAACAGTCCACCCCAGGTTTGTTACCTGTATTTCTAATAAATAAATAATATAAATAAACAAACAGACTTTCCCATTGAGGAAGGCAAATGGAACATTAGCAGACTGCAACACGTAGCCCCAGCATTTGTTCTTCGTTGCTAACGAGGAAGACTCGAGGGATCAGTAGGTCAGTGAAGCACCAGCTGCATCACGACAACCCCAGTGCTCGACGTAAACAAAAAAGTCAAGGCCACAAATACAGTCATCATATACATCCAGATAAGGACCGGAAGATTAACGTGCCAAATTTAATTACATCTCTGAGTCAAGCAGATAAGCATGGGGAATATACCACACTTAGGGAATAATTTTCACCCGCCCTTCTACTTCCCATTTGTACCTACAGCATCTAATAACGTGTCAAGCCTTTCCAAGCCCAGCTCTTGACAACCACGCACCAAAAAATAAAACCCACCCTGCAGTGCCATTTCTGACAGGAGACAGAGTAAACTCAAGGCATGTGAAAGTTGTGACTGCAAAGCTCTAAATGTTGCTAAAAACACTTGTTTGCACTTCTGGGGGCTCAAAGTTTAAAAACATTACTAGAAACTTCAACTCACAAGTAAATAAATAAACAGCTAAATCAAACACCTTGAGAGAAAAACACGCACTTGATTTTTAGTCAAAACTTTAGACTGGAATTGTATGTGAACAACAAATAAGAAGCTTTATGAAAACAGACAAGAGGCTAAAAACAAACCTAAAATAAAGCACTCAGCAGTGGATCTATACCAATTCTTTTGTTACTCAGCAGCACCAGTTTTGCCACTCAGGAAAGACAACTCTGCCTTTATTCAAATTTAGTCCCCTTAAAATGACCAATATCCTAAACCACTCGAGGAAAGTAACAGGTAGGTGGCTATTTCACAACACTCTCCCTCAACAAGAAGAAATCCTTCTCAGGACAGTGGCAAAAAGCATTAAAAAGGAGCATTTCGACGTCCAGGACTTGCCTAGCCTGGCAGCGTTTCCACCCAAAACCCCTTTTAGATTAGCTGCATCACACACCCATCTACAGACTGTCAAAAAAACACAAATAATAGAAACCTCAACTGCTAAAGCAGACAAAGTGGTTTTCCTCCATGAGGTCAGCTTGTACAGACAGCTCTCCTTCCCCCAGATCCACAGGGAGCATTGTCAAAAGGTGGTTGGTACTTCCCATCAGAAGATCCCCACGAAAGCAAGCGCTGCCCAGAATAATCATCCTTTTTTCATTTCCTTCTTTGCCAAGGCTCAGCTCTGCCCATGGAATTCACCTAACGCATGCAGATGCATTCGCTGCCAGAGCTGATAAAACCAAAGCAGGTAACCATCTTACAGAAACCTCTTCCACTAAAAATGTAAGTTTACAGAGAAGCCAGGGTGCATTTCCAGCCTGTTCCCATGAAGATGCCCTATTTCTCACCCTATGGGATAGACTTTAGACACACAACCCAACTGAGCATCCCATCACCACCAGAGCTGCCCTCGGCACCGCAGGCAACGCGCTTTCCGGTATCGCAGAGCCCAAAGATCCCATTCCCTCTGTGCAGGCACCCCTCGCTCCCCCCCACACACACATGGCCTGGACAAGTGCAGAGCTGGGGAGTCTCCATCCCCCTGCCCAGAACCATCCCTGTTTCTGGTCTTTCTTTTTTGATGAAAAAAGGCTAAAGGAAGACTCTGCCCAGAAGCAGGACCCTCACACCATCCCCCACCCTGTCCAATCCCCTCCAGCCTCCCAGCTCTGGCCCTGTCCCCCAGCAAACCCTTCCAGGGGTTTGCTGTTCCCAAGGGCCAGCACGCACTCCTCTGCCCCAAGAGCCGAGCCTCCCCACGTGCCATCTGCCCCCTTCAAGTTGCCGCTTCTCTCCCCCCCTCACACCCCTCCCAAACTCATCCTTCACCAAAACCTACACCTGCTTACTCTGTCTGCCAAGACGAGCTTGCTCAAACCCCCCCCCCCAAAAACCCGCGTCACAAAACCCCAGCCC